TAAAAAATTTTAAATTTAAATTACATAATATATAAATAAAATAAAATAAAACAGGATAACAATTACTTCTCGTTTTTTTTTTAAACAGATTTTACAAGAAATTGGGTTCAAACCCTAGCACTGTAAAGGAAAATGTATCATAAGTGGCTATTGTCACTTGACCCGAAGTGACTCGGTGTAATTACTTCTCGTTTTTGCGATAAACATTTAAAAAAAAAAATCTCCGACCATGCACTTCCAAACAAAGCAGGAAATAGAGGATGCATTGTAGAGCTTTTTGCCCGCGGGCTCACGTGAAGTGATATGACATTTTCTTTTTTTGCTCCCGAAATAATCAGTGTCCTCTCTAACCTACGCTTAGCGCACCTTATGCCCATCCTACGGCAAACGAATACGTGTCGGAACCAGAATTGTCCTCAGCTTTACGTGCGCTTTCGTTCCGCATGGTGCGCAAACCCACGCCCAGCGGCGCTCGTTAGTTTCTCCTCTTACAATATATATTATTCCCTTCTCCTCATTCTCAATTGCTTAAACTTCACTAACCCCTTGCAACCCCTCGACCTCTCCTCCCCTTCTCCTTCAACCTCAGAAACTGTATTTTCCCTTGATGAAATCGCGTCAAGAGCAAGTCGATTCTGTGATCTTTGCTCTTGATTGCGTTGACGAAACTGGAGCTGCATTTGTGAAAGCTCCCGTGGATTTTTAAGGTTGGTAGAGATAGAGAAGCAATTTTGCTGAATTTTCTCGGCATCATTGAGAGAGAAAATAATCTAGTATTTGATTTGTTTTCATTAATTCCATAGGAGCTATTTTTTTAAGCTTCTTTGATCTCTGTCGAAGGATTTTTCTGTTTGTCTCTGCGGAAAAATAGACTGTGATCACAAAAAGAAAACTGAATGCGCACTTGATTTTTCTTGTTTTCCGAGTTTGTGGAATTTTCCGTGAATTTTAAGCTATTGACCGGAGTCGGACGGTCGGAAGTTGGCGGGTGGAGAGTTTTGTTTGGTGTTTTGAGAGGAGGAGAGTTTTGCACGTGCAGCGGCGGGGCGGGCGTACGTGCGTCGTGGTGGTGGTGATCTCGTGAGTCCCGTGAAAAATGCCGCATCGAACGACTTACTTCTTTCCTAGGCAATTTCCGGATCGCAGATTCGATGCATCTTCCAAGCAAGTTTTGGATCACGAGAAGAAGATTGATGAAGAAACCACTCAAAGCACCACCGAAAATGACCTCAAATCGTCGAGGACATCAACAGGGGAAGAATACTTGGCGCCAGCCATACAGGCATCTCTATCAGATCTTTTCACGGGCGAAAAGCTCTACAGTAACAAAAAGCAAAGGCTCGCCGCCTTTTTCGATTGGCTGTCTGAGAAAAAGGGAAATAGATCATCGATTCACGTGAAATCATCACGGCTCTCGTCTAGTGACGAGGATCGCGAGTTGTTACTTCCTCCGGAATCGGGGCCTCCTGATGCCAACGTGATCAATGACCGGAGCTTTGACCAGAACTTTGACCGGCAAGTGTCGCAGCCGAGGCTGTCAAGTGGGAGTAGCCATGCTGGTAGCTTGTTCTTGGGAACTATCGTGGATGAAATTTTGTCGAGCGATGTAAGAGATACATGGACTAAGGATTCTTCCAGGCGTGTGCCAACGACGACGGAGGTGGAGGAGGTGGTGGTGGTGGAGGAGGAGTCGAATAAGGAAGGAGTAGCGCAGAGATCAAAGGAGAGTTTCTACTTGCAGCTTACACTGGCTAGGAGGCTTACTTCCCAAGCAACTCTAGTTAGTGAGTCATTCCTGTTGCAAGGGTGTGGTCCATCGGTTGCTGATGCCGAAACCGTTTCTTATCGTCTATGGGTAAATCTGTTCTCTAGATATGCTACTCTTGAGTTGAAATTTTTGGTCTACATTTCTTCTAATATATGGGGATGATATTTTGCAGATGAGTGGTTGCCTGTCTTACAATGATAGGATATCAGATGGGTTCTATAATATTCTTGGGATGAATCCATATCTATGGGTTATGTGCAATGATTTGGAGGAAGGAAATCGGCTACCGCCTTTAATGTCACTCAAAGAAATTGAACCCAGTGAGACACCTATGGAGGTGGTTCTTATTGATAGGCGAGGGGACTCTCGCCTTAAGGAGCTTGAAGATAAAGCACAAGAATTGTACTGTGCCTCTGAAAATACCTTAATGTTGGTGGAGAAACTTGGAAAGCTAGTTGCTATATACATGGGGTAGGTTCAGTCTTCTATCTTTTATTTCATAACTTGGATGTTTTTCTGTTCCTCTGAATTTACATTAATTTACATTGCGTTGAGTTGTTTATGTATAGAGGAACCTTCCCGGTGGAGCAAGGTGATCTCCACAAGCGTTGGAAATTTGTTAGCAAGAGATTGAAGGATTGTCAGAAGTGTATAGTGCTCCCCATTGGCAGCCTATCTGTGGGACTTTGCAGACATCGGGCAATTCTATTTAAGGTATGATATAAAACATCAGCTCATTTCTTTACACTTATGCAAAATTTTTCTTTGTAAATGTTAAAAAAATGTGCCCCAATGGGGTGTCTCAAGTGGTTAAGAACTTGAAACTCCAAGTTGGAGATCTTGAGTTCGAATGTTAAGACAGTTGGGGAGGGATTAAGGGAAGGGGAGGTCTATCCCCTGTAGTATAGTCCATAATCTAATGTACCAAAAAAAAAAAAAAAAGTTAAAAACATGTAATTAACCAACGAATGCATGGGTGAAGAGGCATCTGCTGAGAGTATCTCAAGACTCTAAAGTGAATTTAATAAGCCCTTGGATTAGATAGTTGCGCCATTTGAAACATGAAATTCAACCTGGAATCTTGTTCATTTTAGACTCTAATTATGATATGTTTGAATGAAAACTATTTATTGAGAGGTAGAATTTTAGCCTAAGCTAGGTACGTAGGATTAACTTTATTCTATGGTGTGCAGCCTATAATGTTTTTGTTTTATTGTTAAGTTGTCACCTAAATGTAGATCCATTTGTATGGTGTGTTGAAAAGCAGTTTGATTCAGATTAATATTTTTTTTTTCTATTTTTTTCCCTTTTTATTTTTATTTTTTTTGAATGAAAAGGGAGGTGACTCATGCAATTTTATGCAATTTTTTCTATTTTGTATCTGGATGTTTTTTTGATAATTACTGTTTCATTGAAATGTGGGTTATCTGTAATATTATGATAATCTGGCCTGTAATGACCAAATGAGCCAAAAATTTCTTAAATCATATGTGAATGTCTGGACAGGGGCCATTGTATTGCAACTGAATTAGAAGGACCAGAAAGATACCCAGATATTAGAGCAATCCATTAAGAGTACTCTATCCCATGAATATTCAGTGAGGTATTTGTAGCCTGCCATGGTGAATTGACAAGATGAAAGTGAAATATGTGATTTTTGTGGGCTGTTATTCATGGGAGATCTGGCTTCTTTTCTCTCTTCTTGATTTACTGCAGGGCTTACACAATTAAAGTTACAAATTATAATCTTCCATTTTGCCTTTATTTAAAGAAAGTTACGGTATGGGACAATCTACTTCTTGCTGCTTAGATTAACTGTCATCAGTAAATTATTTAACATTGCATGTATATGTGTGGAGGTACTTGCATATAGTTTTTTTATGTTGTTAATTATGGGAGTAGAGTTTGGAAACTAATGAGTGGCTAAAATGTCTTCCGAAGTGTGTATGACATTTAGCATTCCTTGTTTTCTGTATCAATATTTTTCCCCTAAGAATGTGTTTTGGAATTGACAACTAACACTAGATTTGGTCTCTCAATTGCAGAAATTGGCAGACTGCATAGGTTTACCATGTCGGATAGCTAAAGGTTGCAAATATTGTGCATCAGATCATCGGTCTTCTTGCCTGGTCAAAATTAAAGATGATAGGCAGTTCCCAAGGTTGGATAATTACTTATACTTGTAGGCTGATATTTAAGCAAACAGAATGTTTCAACTTTCAACTCTGAAGTTAACAAGGCCAACAGGAAAGAAACTAGTCTGTTTTGTCAAACCATCTTAGGATGTTAATGTTGAGGAAGCATTTCTTCTTTAAACTCAGACACTAGATGTTGACTGATTGATCTAACTTTTATAGAGTAGTTAGCAAGTGTATGGTTTCTTCTCTCAAATGTCTGGTCATGATTTGAGCGTTTTCTTATACCAGTTGCAATTTTTGTTCTGTAATTTAGCATTACAATCTTTTGTAGCATTCATTATGCTTTACATATTTGTTTCTTCATGTGTGTATTAAAAAAAAGGATAAATCCTATGTTCTTGGGTTCAATTTTATTACATGTCTAAATATTCTCTCTTTAAACTTCTTTTTTTGTTTTTGTTTTTATTTTATTTATTTATTTATCTTTTTTTTTTTTGGTTCTTTCTGTGCTTTTGACTATTGTGAAAGTTTCCTAACAGGGAATATGTGGTTGATCTAGTTGGGGAACCAGGAAATGTCCATGGTCCGGATTCCTCAATCAATGGAAGCTTCTGCTCTCCAGTGCCTTCACCACTTAAACTTTCTCATCTAAAAGATTTTCAACAACCTTACATGGATGATTCTTCATGTCAGATAATCGACTCAGACAATTCATGTTCTGTCCTGGAGAATCCTCAGCATTCAGGTATGTCACATCATCCTTTTACTGCTTCATTCACAATTGTTTAAAGCTTTGCTGGAACTAAAAAAATGCCCTGATAAGTCAGTGTTGGGAGGGTTTACAGTAGGGTTGTAACTTTTTGATTCCTTTGATGTTCCAATTGAAAATGAAGTATCAAATTGTGTCTTATTATGGGATGTGCGATTCTGACCATAGATCTTCCGATATAATAAATACTAATACAGGTGTTTCCAGTAAACAAGCAGAAATAAAGCCCATGGTTTAAGTTGTTCTGGTCCTTCTGGCACATTCTGTTTACTTATGTTTCTGGAGACTGACTACTTGCAGCTCATTTAAACAATGGTGATCAATCTCATGCAGGTACTTTTGATGAATGTCAAGAGTTGGAAGCCAATAGTTTATTTGGAAATCAGAAGGGTTTAATGTATGCTCAAGTTGATCAAACTTGCCTTGGAAAGGAGGAAGCTGCTGCTGAAGAATTGATGCAGGCAAATTCTGGACTTGGTGGAGATACAGTTGTCACCCAACAGCCATACAAAAAGGAGATTGCTGTGACTGGAAGCCAGGTTACAAACAGCGTCAAGCAGCGTAAAGTTAATGTATCCCGTCAGTCAGATGTGGAACATATTGAGACTGGAGTTGGTAAGGAGAGATTCTCTTCTGTAGCCATCCCAAGATACCTGAATCTTGAACCTTCCCTTGCAATGGATTGGCTTGAGATATCATGGGATGACTTGCGAATAAAGGAGCGTGTTGGTGCTGGTACTACTCATGCCTTTTCTTAGTTGGATATTTCTATTTTGAGCCTTAAATTTTATGTGTTCTAGCATGAAGCTATTGCATGACATGTGTATCTTGTCCTGTTCACAGGCTCATTTGGAACTGTGCATCGTGCTGAATGGCATGGATCCGTTAGTATTTGCACTTTGTTTTTAAATTAACTTTTATGATTATCATACAGGTCCTCTCTGTGTTACTGCTTTCTGGCAATCAGCAAGTAAACAATTTGATGTTACATGCAGGATGTTGCTGTCAAGGTCTTAACTGTCCAAGATTTTCATGATGATCAATTGAAGGAGTTTCTAAGAGAGGTATATACTGGATAAAGCATTTAAATCAGATATTTTTAAAGATCCGCCTTAGTGTGGTCAATTGTCATCATCACCCCTCCATCAGTCAGAATCCTGTGTCCTTTTGTTTGCTGTTTTAATGCATGTCATGTCTTTTCCTTTTTTACTTGAAAACTTGTAAATACTGGATAAAAAATTTAAATTAGAATATTTGTAAGGATCCACTCTTAGTGCAGTCAATTCTCATCATCTCCCTTCCATTGGTTGATGTCTGGTGTGTGCTATTCTAATGCATGTTGCATCTTTTCTTTTCTCTTTGCCTGTGAACTTATATTTATATGTTTCAGTCGTTCTCTCATAAAATTTTTATAATATTCCTTATTTTTCCATTGGTGCCCTTTAGTATTGTGCTCTGCAGGTGGATATTTGAGTACTGTTTTAGCTTTTGCATTTATGCTACCCTTGCTCTTCTCCATTTCCATTATTTTGGGTTTGTTCTATAGCATAGAGCCTGTTTGTAAGATAGGTGATTTGTCTGAGTAACTACTTCAAAGTTGTCATAGATACTGAACGGAGATCTTTACCAAATGTAACATTTATATGTTTGATTTTGTTGCAGCAAGTAAATCATAGGTTAGACTGTTGACCGTGTGAGGAAATTGTTCCTGGTTTGCATCTCTTATGAATCATAAGTGATGTTTTAACATGTGAATGTAACATGATATAAAATGCATTTTTCTTTAGGTTGCAATAATGAAGCGTGTCCGACATCCAAATGTGGTACTCTTCATGGGGGCAGTAACAAAACGACCTCATCTGTCAATAGTGACAGAATATTTGCCTAGGTATATCATCCAGTTCAATTCTAGAGTAGGTGCAGCTATTATTATTTTTGCAAGAATATGCATGTTTGACTCTTATTTTGTGGTTGTGGAACAGGGGTAGCTTATACCGCCTCATTCACAGGCCAGCTGCTGGAGAAATGCTTGATCAGAGGAGACGATTACGCATGGCACTCGATGTGGTCAGTGCTATTTTTTAAACATTTTATCTGCTGATGCTACTTGCTGTTGGAACAAAACTTACATTATATGTTGGAAGCAGGCAAAGGGAATCAACTACCTTCATTGTCTGAATCCTTCTGTTGTTCACTGGGACCTTAAATCTCCGAATCTGTTGGTTGATAAGAATTGGACAGTAAAGGTATGACACAAAGGTCTTTTGGTTGAGAAGCTTTCTTTGGCTTCTCTGAATAATTCATCTTTGCTTGTGATGCTCAGGTGTGTGATTTTGGGTTGTCCAGATTCAAAGCAAATACTTTCATATCCTCAAAATCTGTTGCAGGAACAGTAAGTCTCCTCTTCCACCCTTAGATAATTGCATCAAGTTGATTCGTAAATATCTGAATGTTGCTTGCACCTAGTTGGTAGTTGCAAAACGTGTAAACAACTGCATGCATCATGAAAGATCATTTGTTACGCTTGGATGAATCTGATGTATTCAAATCTGAATATATTCTGTAATTGTGGACTTGCTTTTTTCAATTAGTTGGGCTCATTGTTGTACAGCATAGAAAGTCAGATTTTTCCATCAATATTTTGCATGTTGAAACTTGAAAAATTAGCAATGCATCAACATGCAACTGTCTTGCTTTTATTTTTAGGCTGAGTGGATGGCCCCAGAGTTCCTGCGTGGAGAGCCTTCAAATGAGAAATCAGATGTTTATAGTTTTGGAGTGATCCTGTGGGAGCTTGTGACCATGCAACAACCTTGGAATGGACTTAGTCCTGCTCAGGTAGATGTAACAAGAATTTGGAATCCAATTTAGTATTTATTTTCCTCCCTGTCGTGATTCTTTTTTCTCATGTCTCTAACAATTTGTCTTATAATATATGGATGCAAACTAACTGTTTTGATGTAAGAGTTTTTATTTCTGTTATAAGCTGGTCTACATCTTATCGGTTTGAGGTTTTCAGGTGGTCGGTGCTGTTGCTTTTCAGAATAGAAGGCTCACTATTCCACCAAATACCTCCCCCGCATTGGCTTCTCTCATGGAATCTTGCTGGGCTGAGTAAGTGTTTCAAGTATTGTACAGTTCATTTATGTTGGTATATATTATTATACATTTCTGCCCATTAAGACTTGGGCTATATTCAATGTCCAATAAGGACTATTTTTTCACATTCACACTTAATTCTTGACATCATCAGTCATCAATGGGCTGTGCTTACAGCCCAGTTATCAAAAAGCATACTCAAGGAGTTCTTTTCATCGATTGCTGATGGTTGCTAATTGTCCCATTTAGTGATCCTGCCCAGCGCCCATCTTTTGCCTATATAGTTGAGACGCTGAAGAAGTTGATCAAGTCTCCATTGCAGTTGTGATACAGGCTGGTCGTGGGCAACCGGGCATTCATCAACTGAAGCTGCCTTTTTACAGCAAAGTATTATAATAACCTAAGCTGATTTTGGAGGTTTAGTACTTTGCGCTTTTTTTTTTTTAATTTACAATCAAGACAGCAAGTCTTGGTAGTTATGTTGCACTGACATAAAACCATTTTGGTTCAAGGCAACTGTAGACGTGTTTCTTCCCTAACCTACTTGCAATGCCATCAAACCAATTGCAATGGGGCTTATATCCACCATTGGAAAAATATAGCAAACCATTGCTGTGTTTATATAGGTTTTCAATGGGATAGCTTTCCTGGAAGTTGTATCAAGCAAATCCTGGAAGTTTAAGAGATGGGATTTTGCTTCAGAACTCGGTGTTGTAATATCAGCCTGTCTAATATGTTATTGTTGTCTGACGCCAGTTTTAATGATATCCAAACTCCTGGGAAGATATGTAGCATATGGAAATAATTCGCAAGCACTCTTGCCATGGGGTACAAATATCAATAACCACTTAATTTGGTTTGAAGGAACTGGATGAAGAAGATTTAAGGAAAAACTATTTTGACTAATCTAGTAGTTGGTTTAACCCTAATTTGATTGGTCAAAATATCATTTTTGCCCTACTCTTAGTATGCTTCCACTTTCCTCAAATCAAATAAGCTCGTGTAGCTCTTTTTGGTTTGTGTTTTTATGTTTTCTTGTTATATTTTCATACTTCTTTTACAATTTGTTTTTATTTTGGTAAACTTTGACAAATTCTTTTGCACTACATACTTTAGCGTCTCAATAGTTGAGCAACACAGGTGTCTTATTGAACAAACACTGTAGTAAACTTTGGGGAGATTGTTCATTAATGGTGTTTTTCTTTTAAAATTTTTTGAGATCTAACTAAACAAACACAAATATTTTATGTATACTTAATTTTTATTTAATCAAAATAGGGTAGGGTAGTGTTTAGTGATGTGGAGAACATAATTTGTCTAAGTCATCATTTTATCACATGTGAAATTTCCACGTTAGTAAAATAATAAGAGACATAAATTTCCACCAATCCACGTAATTTCCACCTAAATTTTAGAATTAAAAAACAGGAATTTTTGAGGAATGTTTGAGGAGTTAAGGGTCTGGGCGAAGGACCAAATTAATGTAGATGAATTAAAGTTTAAGGATTAATTCAGTATTTTTTGAAGTTAGAGGACTATTTTGGTCAAAAACTTAAAGTTCAGGAGCAAATTTGTGATTTAATTTAAAATCTGCTGAACTAATAAAAACCTATTGAAATCGAAATGTACCAAAACGAATGGTAATTCAATTTTACACCAAATGGAAAATGTTTAATTCACTTTTTTACTGGGTGGATTATGACACAATGACAATGGTAGAAATAGAAGAACGACAAAAACAATAGTAAAGCTGGTCAATAACATTGACAAAAGTTTAGTTAAATTGATTAATATTCACTAATGATAAAATTTTACTAAATTGTTGTGTAATGTATTTTATTCACACGTACAAGGGAAAAGTTTTCCCTTTTTTCCCAAACCTATTTCCTCTCCACTACAAACTACTCAAATTTAGAAGTTCCATACTAATAATGCATCCCACACACACGAAGAATGTTGATACATTAGAGGTTTAGCAAGTCTTCCGAAGACGGGAAACTCAAGTTTAAGGGTTCGTAGGGTTAATGAGACTTAAAAAATGAAGTCAACTATGATGAAATTTCCGTGGAAATTAAGTAGTCGTTAAGTTTGGCGCAAACTCGCTAATATGGTTGGTCTTGCTTCTTGAATCTTGACCCAAAAATTTCCCATCTTTCTATCCAAAAGCGCGTCTGCTCTTGACTTGGTACACTCCTGTATTTCTATATAAACGAAGCTGAAGCACAAAAACAGATATACAAAGTAATAAAATTGAAACACAAAAACTTTCCTTCTTAGAAAAATTATGGAATCAAAGTTAAAGAGTAGGAGGGGCCGTTCTCTCTTTATGTCTGCTCTACTTGGGTTGCTTCTTCATATTGTCAGCTCCTGGCTTCTTGGGTTTCTACACAGTTTGGAGCCACAGATTTTCAGTGAGTCATTTTTTTATATTGCTGATACTTTTACGACCAAATTATTATTATTGTTATATATTTGTTACACAACATGCATGATAGCTTCATTTTTTTTTTTTTTTTAATTTTCTACTCATTAGAATTTAAAATTTTCAAATTAGAGTCTCAATATGTTTTTATCCATTGAAACACCCTTTTGCAAGCAGAGAAATTATAGCAGTATTTTTAATCTCAACTTTGTAACTAGGATTTAATATTATTGGCTTATCAGAGAAATTATAATTGATAGTAATAATGTTGCAATTCGATTCATGTGCAGGTGAAGTTGTGAGGACGAGCATCCGCAATGGGTTTGTAACTATGACAATCAAATTCCTCCATTTTGTCATAGCAAAGTGTATGCAGTTCAGACATGCCTGGTTGTTGTATCCTGTTCGTTCTACCATGTCCTGCTGGTTATTCTGGATAGCATTCAGTCGACCAATATCTCATCCTCAAGCTAGCTTGCTTGCTTTCATTTTTGGATATTGCCATTTAACCATCTTTCATTCTTCATGGCAGAACGAATCCCATTTGGGACATTTCTTGTGATGAGAGTTGAAACCAATCCTAAATCTAGAGAAAATATTGTTTTTGAATAAAATAAAACCGGCTAGTTTTAATGCTAGTTTGGGTATTACAAGATAAATATACTATTAATAATTTTGCGGGCCTATGTAAGGGGTTTTTTTCACTAGAATTACCCTGAAATGGTAAAGACTCCTTTGGAATAATATAAAATGTTTGTTTGTGTTTTTTTTTTATTTTATTAACTTCTCAATATTCAATAATTACATTAGATCTTATTAATTTAAAATCGAATCGCGTTGAACTCTATAAGAGGAAAGGAAAACTTTCCTAATGCTTATTTTTTTTATTTACAATATTCAAATTTAAAATCTTATTTAAAAGCAACCGAATTCATTTCATTCAGATTAATAGATCATTAATTATAAAATGTTTGTTGATCCAATAAAAAAAGTCGGGTTTTGAGAGAGGAATTAGAATTAGAAATAGCAAGTTTAAATTTTCACACAAGAGGAGAGAATTTAAGAAGGAAAAGATTACTTTTTATTGTTTAAATTATTATTTTATATTGATAATGAGTTAATAATTTAAATATTTTAATACTAATTTCTTTTAATAAAAATAAAAAATTTTAAATTCAAATTATATAT